GCGGTCATAACGCCGCAAGCCGTCGGGACTATAGGCTTGAAGCAGCTACCAGACTTTCACTTCGCTGTCAGTGAAAGCCCCGCTCTGACTGAGCCCTGGACGATTCTGCTCATTCGGGCTTTCACAAACGCTGCCGTCTTCCACATGAGTGAAATAGAAGAGCTACAAAATCACCAGTGGTTCGACATAGACCATACCAGCGAGGCGCTTCAAGTCAGCACTGCACGGGCTGAAAGCTGCATCAGGGCGCTTCGATTCCTAGGCAGCAAGTCGCGGATGGCGGAAGCTATTGGAAAAGTTCTATCCAAACATCTGGACACATAGGGAGATATGCACGAGCCTCATCTCCCATCAAGCGAAGTCTATTCCGTTTGAATTTTCTCGCAGCTCATGGTATTTCGGTTTCTTTGGGTGTTGCCTTCGTATTTACAGCGAACCGTTGTCGCCCTCCCGTGTCCAAAGCGGGGAAATATAGGCTCTCAAGCGCTAATAATACATCAAATTGCGGTGGCTATTTTATGGGACAGCTCTATCATAAGTTAATTAATTATCCGTAATAGCATTCTAACCAGGAATACCGTATTAGGGGCAGTAGATCAAGATCAAAACAAGCAAAACTTCGTTTTCAATTAAGGAAACAATACCGCACCGTAGCCAAATCTTGGCACATTCCTTCAAGGAGAAAATAAAAGCCACCTATTACTTATATCAGGCCAGGGGTCGATAAAAACACGGGAGAAGGTTCCATTTACCCGTGCCACATAGCTCAGCAGCCCCGACTAGAAGCCAGCTTGTCTCCGCAAATAGAGCGCTCACATGTATGCGTTTAGAATGTCTGCTGAGAGAACCAAGAGCTCTTTTGTTTCTCTAACCGGTTGTTCGGGTAACTTCGGACAGCTACTATTCAAGTGATTTCGTCCTAGCAACACCGCGAAATACTGTTCAACCACAAAAGCAGGCATCTTCGATCAAAGCCTTGCTTAGAAAGTGATGTCTTGAAATCTCCCTACGCCTCCCAATAAAGCAACCGATCAGCTTGTTAAATGCTACGAGTTAGCTTTTCCAGACACACTGTAATAGCGCGGGAAATTCAAGATTTACGTATTGTAAATGCTAAAAAAAAGGCAACCCCGTACAATATCTACACGACAGCTAGCCCACGAGGGCGACTTATCTATGAAGGAGGTCCGTCCGCTGGTATAGAGGCGTGAATTCCTAGTTGAGACCGAAGTAGTAACCCCAGCGGAGACAAAAAATCAGGCCAGTATACAGCTCATTCGGGCTTTATCAAAGTACAGTAGCTACCGGGGGTGCGGGGGGCCGGCCGGAAGACAAAGTAGATGCTCAAATTGTAAATATCTCAACATCAATATTAATGGCTTTAGGATTGATAAAGTACATCAACAGTCAAGATAGTATGGAAGGGTTGCCCACTCGGTGGTGAATCACGTCAATTAAACAGGAGTGCCCCTAGCAAAGTTGGGGTTGTCCTTAGCAACTCCCGCACTCGTCTTTGTTTTCTCCGTCTTCACAAATTTCGTGGCACGGAGGATCCCCTTTCGCTTTTTTGGCAGCCTCTAGGTATGTCATAGATTTGCCGCTATAGTACTTAATCTCGAACATTTTGTCAATCTCCTCCAAGGAGAGTCCTGAGGTTTCCACAACGAAGAACCAGCAAACGATCGTGAAAACAAAATTCGCGATCGCGAACACCAAGTAGAATTTCCAGGCGATGTTCTCAATGCCCAGTGTGAGTTAGTATTGAATGGTTGATACATCCAAAGGGGGGGGAAACCGAACTTACCAACTGGCGTGATAGCCACAATGACATAAACACCTAGCCATTCCATGACCATAGCAGCCGAGCACGCGAAGTTCCGGTGAATGCTGGAGTTGAGTTCCGACGGGTACATGAAAGGTATAGCCAAGAAGGATAGCCCCTGCAATGCGAGGTTAGATGGGAGGGAGCTTCCGAGTCACTGGGGCTTCTCACGAAGAAAGCATAGTAAACAAAGATGAATGCCACAGCCACACCCTCCAGGGGTTTGGTGCCAATACCAAGACCGAGAGCGGCCATAGCAAAACACAGGCTTTGGCCTGCAGCGCCGACGATCAACAGCTTGCGACGGCCAAGCCTGTCAATCAGTAAAGTGCCAAGACCGGTCCAAAACATCCACTGCATGGAATCCACGGCAGACAGGATCAGAGACATGCGGTCACTGAAACCGAATGAGCGCTTCATAATGATCGGCAGATAGTAAGCGACAACGTTCACGCCGCCAAATTGCTGCATGAAGTTGACTCCAACTCCAAGAGCAATTCGACGGAAGGTTTGTTGCGGCCCGTTGGAGAAGATCGTTCGCCATCCAGGTTTTTGCGACTCCATCTCGTGGGCAACGGTAGTCTCGATTGACTGGAGCGAGGCAAGTACCTCATCATCCTCGAGAGGTTTGTCTAGAACCCGTGCGATGACCTCTTTTGCGGCAGGAGAACGACCTCTTACACAAAGCCAGCGGGGTGACTCCACCAGGAAAGGGACCATTGATGCCGTTAAGATTGCAAGAAAAGACTGAAATCCGAGGGGAAAGCGCCAGCTGATTTGCTGGTATGGGCAATACGTGAAGCCAAAATTGATCCAGTTGGCAAGCACAAAGCCGAACACGAGATGTGTGAGCTGGATGGTGATCAGCTTACCTCGGTCTTCCTGTTTGCAAGTCTCACTCTGCCACATAGGCACTGTCGTGGTGTTCATGCCAACTCCAAGGCCAGCGACGATGCGGCCCACAATCAAATGGGGAAGAGTAGAAGCCGTGGATTGGAGGATGCCGCCGATCGTGAGAAACGCGCTGGCTAGTAAGACTGATCGCCGTCTTCCGAGTCGATCTCCAGTGTACATTGACAGAAAAGCCCCCGCCACGCATCCAAGGACGTATGTTGACACAATCTGCCCCTGCATTGTGGTGTTGGGATCATCGAACTGTTTCTGGAACGTGGGATTTGAGAGAATGCCCCCGAAGACACCTTGATCGTAGCCAAATAGCATGAATGACACTCCACAGCATGCGGTGATACCAATGGTCAAGCCACGGCCTCTTAGCGAATTGGAGGAAAACATTGTGTTAGGTGGAATCGGTAGGGTCATAGTCAACAACTTCGTTATAGTGGTACGCGAAGAATAAGGAACTCTTCGCTTACATGTATCGCTCTCGTAGCCATGCAAGAGGAAAAGGAAAGGTGAGCTTAGATATATGCCCTTTTGTAAGGGATGACTCGGAACCACAGGATGGCGGTGAACCCTAATGATCATCATATACAACCTACAGTCGGCTCCGACTCTCCAAATCGAGCGCTAGACACTTTAAAATTAATAGATCCATGCTGGATATCGTTGGAAGAGCGTGGCACGGTAATAATGGTAGCCTCTGGTTGGCTAGCATCACATGCCCACGAGGAGTAACTCTTGAGCCATCTTGCTACAGAAATGGAGGCGACTGCGCGGCGGAGCCTCTGGGCTCTAGCCTTGGGGAATCTGGGGAAACTGAAACCTGGGAAAACTGATTCATTCCGAATCTGGGGGAAATGATCCGGAGAAGCGGAGCCGATCTGGTTTCCCCAGATTTCCCCGGATTTCTCCAGGGCGAGGCCCCGCCGCGGGGTCGCCCCAGCGAACCGGATCGGGGGAAAGGAACGGGTCTAGTCTGTGCAGAACAGAGTTTAGGCCTCCGAGTCGGAGCCGCTCTGCTCGCCCATGGGATTCTCGACTCCACGAACCAGCCAAGATTGAGCCTTTTTCGTCTGGGCATAATTCCTCAATTCAGGTGTTGCATGGCTGCCGACTCTACGACGCAAACGGTTTGAGGCCCGAAAACGGAATCTAGACCAGCCAAATACCCTTTACGGAGCTACATGGTCAATCAGCAATGCCACCTGGGTTTATGTTGCTGTCGTAGCTGGACGTCGAAAGGTTGGTGTTTTCGAGGTACCATGATCTACTTTGCCCAGGACGTGGCGCTTTCCTATTCAGGGCTAGCACTTGTTCTTCTCAGGGGCATGATCTGGGCAGGCTAAGATAGCGGAGCCTTCAACCACTCCGTTCAACATACTTCAAACAAGGCGTCTGAAAGGCCAACGGACGTGTGGCTTGAGAGATTTCATCTCGCTCTTATTTTACATTCTCGCCTCCCACAGCAACAATCACGATTTTCATCCTTCCAACCATATATAGTTATTTGAGCCTATCACTTATCCTACACCTCCCTCGGTCGTTTCCACGTCTTTCTACCTTCCTCCATTTTACCTAGTAACCAGATGTCAAGAATAGGAGACATAAGTCGGCTTCACCTTCTATTTGATCATCCTGTCTCTCTTGCTGTTCGCTCATACGCATACTCGCTCAATACCGTTTTGGCTTGCTCTGACACCAGACTCTGTCATACCCACAACGACTCACTACAAATTACTGATGGAGTCGGCTACGCGGAGGAAGCGGGAAGAAGAGAAGACATGTGAGTTCGTGATGTCTCTGGAGAAGAACGAAGAGAACAGAGAAGAAGAGGCCTCATATAGGCCGCAGATAACAACAAACAGGGAAACGTCCAGCAAACGCTGGTCCTGGAAACAGCCGCGGAGTCATCCGCCAGAGGGAGGGAATCTCCATTAATTACTCATGCCCTTCCACAGAAAATCCTTAACATCTTGCACATCCGTACCCTACCAAACACCTCTTCTCTCACAGACCATTCCAACTGTCTCTCGCGATCCGCCTTTGCCCCTCCCGACGGAATGCCCTCTTCCCCCATCCGACGCGCAATATATTGGCCTAATTCGTCCGTTCCCCTACGCCCCTCTTACGACACTACTAACAAGAAGCTCTATATAGTCCCAAAACAGACATAAGAGCTCCATCTCACTTTTTAAGCTCTGCTAAGAGGCTCCTGTCGGGGCGACATGGCTCCTAATTATCTGTAGTGGCCTCTTCTTTGGGGCTATAATGTCCGTAACTAATCTAAAGGGGTGCTCATAGCCCAAACCAGGAGGCCGTAGGGAATCGTCTCCAATTTCTTTGATCCATCGGACTTGGTGACCTCCGCCTCGATATACTTGTCGGTCACTTTCTTGACTATGGTCTTGGCGCGGATTGTAATTCCCTCCTCCTTGAAAGTGGATCCTGTGTAGTCAATCAGCTGCTTCGAGAACATAGGCAAGGCGTTAGGTAATGCTTCCACGAGCGTTACGTGGAAGTTGTCCTCGATCTCTGGAACCCACTTCTTCGGATCGTCGTTGAAAAGGTCCTGTAGCTCACCGGCGAACTCAACACCAGTCGGGCCGCCGCCAACCACGAGCATATCGAAAGGAACTTCCGTGTGAAAGGTGTCGCCCTTGATTTCCGAACAGTCACTGATGTACACGACACGCTTGTCGTAGTCGATCTTCGTAGCCTCAGCTTTGTAGAACTTGACGGTGGCATTCTTGTGACGCAGGATGCTCCGGATAGGCTCCATAATCGAGCGGGGCTCGATCAGACCAGTGGTGCATGACGGCAGCAAAGGAGTGAAGAGGAAGTAATTGCGAGGGGAGACGACGACAACGTTATAATTTTTAGTGTCAAGCTTCTTCGGCAAGGAGACGGTGCCCCAGCCAGTTCCTAGAGGGAAAACTGCATTAGCGACACTATAACATATGAGATTGGCGATCGCGACAGAGGCATACCGAGGATGACCAAAGTCTTCTTCTCCGGGTCTAGCTCAAACTGCTCCATGGGATGGTACAGAGCATATATGTTGTAAGCCACGGCACCGATGACCAAACCCCGTAACCGAGGCCAAACGCCAGAACCAGCGAAAGAATCCGAATTGCTTCTTGGGGATCGGTGCCGGGGAGTGGGAGGGCCCATTGATGTAGCCGCGGCGAGTGACACTCGATAATGGCACGGAGGACCCAGGAGGTCTGAATACTTTCAGACCGAGATCATACTGCGGTTGCAATGTCGAAATCGACCTGTGCGATACCGAAGACAGCTGCATGATGGATTGTACGACAACCTTGGGTCGGATTGCCAGCGCACTTCCAGCCATCGTGGAGAGCGACACCAAGAGAACACGAAGACTTGAAGGGATGAGCAGGAAAGATGCAGGGCTTGCCTAACAGGCGATTCCTGACTAGACATAGACGCCACAATGGTTGAAAAGGAGGGTTGAGATGGCTTCTATAAGCATTGTATAAGCCTCTGAACACAGCTTCACCATCTAAATCATATTTATTTATATATTCGTGAAGATATCACGAGGTAAAGTCGGCGGTATTTTGGGACCAGTGCCAAGAAAAAAACTTGAACCAAAACTTGAACCAAAACCTGAACCAAATCACGTGATGCCCATCATGGCCCATTGTGGTCCTGATTCCTGAAGCAAACTATGAGTCTA